AGAGTCTCTTTACCCCGTTCCTGGTCACAGAACTTTGAAGAGCAGTTACCCACCTGCCTCCTCTTGCCTTCTCTGCATTAGCACCCTTGATAATAGCACCTCCTATAATACAAGCAGGTGCCCTTACTCAAGGGCATAAGCTGCAAACAAAGTGGTTAACACAGTTCAAAAGCTTTGACAGACTGACTTTGGGAGCAGCCCAAATGGGAAATACTCTGGTTATTCATGCAAATGACAGGTCTGCCCACTCTCCTTAAAAACTATATCGCTTTATGGCATGACGTGGTGCCTCATACCTGTAATCCCAGCACTTTGAGAGGCGGAGGCAGGCAGACCACCTGAGGTCAGAAGTTCGAAATCAGCCTGGCCAACAAGGTGAAACCCTGTCTCTACCAAAAAATATGAAAATTAGCTAGGCATGATGGCACGTGCCTGTAATCCCAGCTACTCCAGAGGCTGAGGCATGAGAATCACTTGAACCCAGGAGGTGGAGGTTTCAGTGAGCTGAGATCATGGCACTGCACTCCAGCCCAGGTGACAGAGCGAGATCCTGTCTCAAAAAAAAAAAAAAAAAAGCATCAAAATCTACATCACTTAAAAATATATACAAAACATGCAGTCTAGTGCAAGTGCTCTTGACTGGGCTCGACTGAGAGCTTGCAGGCCACTGACCTGCTATCTGGAGACTAGAAAGACAGAACATGAAGGAGAAAGGCAGAGGGAACTGGAGAGGGACTGAAATTCAGAAAAAAAAATTAAGAGGGTGGGAGGAGGGGGAGGAGCCAGAAAGCCAAAAGAGGACGAATGTTGTGAAAGGTAGGTGAATGAGGAGGGTATGATTTCAAGGAATCCAAGGAAACAGGGGATACAGAGAAGGGGTGTTTAGCAGGATTCACTACTACTGATACCTAACATCACCACCTGTTCCTATGCACCAGGCTCTAGTTATGTGCATGACCTAAGGCATCTCTGTCGCAGCTGATATGAGAGACATTATTCTTATGCTCACATTTCAAATAAGTAAGCTGAGGTTCTGGGCAGATGAGCTAATCTGCAAGATCCCCACTGTAAGTAGTGGAGTTCTAAGATTCTAAGCCAGGCAACATGGTTCTAGAACCATTCTCTACCATCTCCCGTTAGCAGGATGCAGGCTCTGCATCAAGAACTGGGACATCAAGACATGGAGACGTCCACCAGGGCTGGATTCCCTGAGAAACAGATCCGGAGATGGAGATTTGATATAGGAAAGTTCACTGGCAAGTGTGCTCCAGATCACACTTGTGGGAGAGTGACGGCCACAGGAGTGGGCAGGAGAAACAGCTGTGATGCAGTCACAACTAAAGCCTCAGCTAATCCCACTGAAAGCCTGGAGCTGGGATGGCCCTGCAGAGTTGTGCTGCTCTGAGGCAAGGGGACCTGCCGAGGGGAGAGAGCTGCCAGCTCCCAACACTCTCAACTGGGAGGGGTGCCTGCCTCAGTCTAGGGGAGGGAGGGAGAGGAATCTGCAGAGCTCCCCACAGCATCTACTACCGTGTTCCACATCTAAAAAGAAGGGGTAGTTTACTGGCACAGTATTTGACAGGGGCTTGGTCAAGTGCCTGGGTTTGCCTTCCAACTCAGTCATTTCCTGGATAGAGAATTTTAGGAATTTGCTTAACTTCTCTGCATCTCCATGTCTTCATCTAAAATAAAGATAATGCCCATTTGATGGAATTGTTGAAGAAAATCATATATACAAAGTCTGTGCTGCTAAGTAAATGTTTCCCTCCCAGTTCTAAAAGGGGGCTGCTAGATATTCAGAAGAGACACACTCATCATAGGTCATTTAGGGAGACACCAGGTCTTGCCTGGACAGCTTCATCCTTTTGAGGTTTGTATCATGAAAATCAACTCCGTTGTCTCTGTTGGGGTGCCTCTTGTACTATCAGGCAAAACAGGGATGGAGAAATAAGGAGGTGGGGTAAAATGGGGTGTGGGGAATGACTGTGGCAATTCCTACGGTCGCTCTATCTTAACATTCCAAAACACTGTCAAGCTGATCTGACAAACCCAGTCCGAAAGAGACAGAAAACGCCAAACAGGAAGAGTGGTGTCTGTGGCGATGTCAAGACACCAAGACACGCTCTCTTGCTGGAATGGCACCAGGCAGAAAGCCAAAGAATTCTTAACAAAAAAAACAGAACGGAACAGCTCAGCAGGCTATGGACCATGATTTGTTGGGGAATGTGAGCAACTACAAAGGGCCAAGGCATTCCTAATATGTGTAAGATATTATTCTTGCCACCTCGCACAAATGTATACTGATCTCAACGTATGTCCTCCAGAAGATGATATCAGTTTGGGGGATGGCAGGACTGGGTGGAAAGGGAGGATTTAAGTTAGCATATGCGTGCCACAGTGAGCAGGGGGAGGGGGAAGAGCAAACCGCCATTTAATGAGCAGCCAGCATGTGGCTAGGTACTGAGCATTAGCTAATTTCATCTTCAAACAAATCCTCTAAGTGGATATTGGCATTATCCCATTTCTCAGATTAGAAAACTGAGCAAGCCAAGCACAGTGGCTCAACCCTGTAATCCCAGCAATTTGGGAGGCTGAGGCTGGTGGAGTCAGGAGTTTGAGACCAGCCTGGCCAACATGGAGAAACCCTGTCTCTACTAAAAATGGCCACATCTTTGACGACTTATGTCTAAACTTGGGTCAATTCTGTGACCGCGCTGAGCTTCCACCCCACATGGAAAATGGGGTAACAAGTCCCTGAGGGCTCACTGCATGGCAGAGTTTCCTTCAGCAGGAATTGGGGGCCCATAAAATTATTTAGGTGCTTGATAGACATGAAGTAACATGGAATAGCAAGTGAGAATGTTGTTCTCTCCCCAGTTTTCTTTCAGCTGTTCAAGTTACGGCAAGAAGAAATGCCTATTTGGTTCTAGTGCCCTATTGATTGATTGATTGATTGATTGACTGATTGATACAGAGTCAGATACCCAGTCAGAAAGAGACAGAAAATGCCTTACAGAAAGAGCAGCGGCCTTGGTTATGTCAGATGCCACGATGTTCTCATTAAATTACTTAGCACACTAAACTTGGGAAAATACTTAACTTTCTGCACCTCAGTTTTTTCTTTTCTTGAGACAGAGTCTCACTCAGTTGCCCAGGCTGGAGTGCAGTGGTATGATCTTGGCTCACTGCAACCTCTGCCTCCTGGATTCAAGCAGTTTTCTAGCCTTGGTTTCCCGAGTAGTTGGGATTATAGGCACCTGTCACCATGCCCAGCTAAATTTGGTATTTTTGGTAGAGACAGGGTTTCACCGTGTTGGCCAGGCTGGTCTCAAACTCTTGACCTCAAATGATCCACCCACCTTGGCCTCCCAAAGTGCTGGAATTACAGGCATAAGCCACTGTGCCTGGACTGGTTCTAGTGCACTTTAAAAAGCTAAAACTTGCTAATCCTCCTTAAAGAGATCAGGTCTCAGGTCCAGAGTATGACCTAGTTGAAACTTGACAACACTGCTTTGTTTTCATTGTATTTCTTTTCCTGGTTATCTCCTATTTGTGGTAGTTGATGCTGACTTCCTATTTACAGTGGCAATAACAACTTGCCTTTTAAAGAAATACATTTGTTTAAATAATATGAGTCAATTTTAAAGAAAATTATTAAGTAAAATAATGGTTTAGATGGCACACAGAAATGGGAAAACTCGTGAAGATAGAACACAAATGGTCACATTTTTGTGAACACTGTTAAAAAGACTAGAGACCACATGCCAAATGCCTCCCATCCACTGACCGTACGGTGGGTACTCAATAGGTATTAGCTCTTATATTATAATTTTGTATTATTAGCCTTGGAAGGTAATGGCACAGCTCATTGCTGAAGTACCCAAGAGCTCCCATTTCTGTTTCATGGTGCTCTGCCACTAACACGGCATCTTTTCTAATAAAAGAAGAGCAGAAGAAAATGAAATCAATTTCAAAAGATGAATTCACAGCCCAGTTCCACCACTTACTAGTTGTACAACCTTGGCCAAGTCAAGGAACCTGGCCAAGTTCAAACTCTCCATAATAGCTACCTTTATTAAGGACGTATTATACACCAAGCCACCTTGGTAAGAGCCTTAAGTCAACCATGCTGTTTAAATCTTGTAACAACCCTACAGAGGGTGCATTATTATCTTCATTATGCAGATTACAAACTAAAACTCAGCAAAGTCACTTGAGGGAGTGCAGGTCACCCCGCTGGGGGATGGCAGCAGCAGCATTCAAACCCTCTTCTTTCTGACTCCATACCTACCTCGGAGGTTGATGTGAAGATTAAAAGATAGTAGAGAGGATGTACCTTCTGCATAACATGCATTTGATAAATGGCTGTGCCTTAATACGTTTAGAATATTCCTGGCAGAGGCAACAAAGGAATGTTACTTTCTCCAACTGAGTTCAAAGGATGCAAAGGAGGAAAGAAGGAGGAACCAGCAGCTGATCAGGAAGAGTTGTGCCAGTGAACATCCAGCTTTCAGCATCTGCAGTAGGACTAGGTCTTGCTGTGCCCTGGTGATCTGCCTTGCGGTGAGACAGCTAATGAAGTTGAGCAGAGTGGGTGTACACAGCACATCTGCTGCTGCCAACCACGTTGCACTTTAAACGCTCAAGGCTGACAAACAGGGCATTGTGGGGAAGAATTACCCACTTTCAGCCCAGCACAGGGACCGACTTGCAAATCACAGGCTGCAGGGTGTCGAGAAGCCAGAAGAGGTTGAGAGTCACTGAGGAGACTGGCAGCAAGCTGCAGTTAGAGCCACGAGTCCCCAGAGAGCAAAGGCAAAGCAAACACAGTGGGACTAGGGAGAGCTGGGAATGGCGCAGATCACTCTTTTGTCTACATGAGACAAGAGCACCCTCAGAAGTAGAGAACTGCCCTGATTTAAATGAAAAATGAGGTTCAGACTGCTGGTCCCACACTTCAGTGCTGGTATTGTATAAGCAATTACATCATTATTATGAGATTAAATGCTTAAGGTTTTTTTAATCTTCATAAAAAGAATGCCTTAAAATTTCCATATGCTGGTAATTTTTCAGTTTTTTCAAAAACTAAGCTGTGAAATGGAGAAAGAACATGGTTCGCTGGAGAACGCATCCACATAGCACAGACAGCACATTGAAGGATTTCTGATGGGACGCTCAGTGCTCTTCTCTACTTTGCTAGGGAGAAAAGAACATCGTATCCACAGGGGAAAACGATCCACAGGGGAATGGGAGAAGAGAGAGAACTGGAGGCTCTGCTGGAGAGACAAAAAAAAAAAACACAGTTCCACAGAAGCATTCATAGAATTACTCCATTCATTTTGAAGAGCATGAGCTGATAGATGTTGATTGTATTATGTAAATGAACCCAAAGGGGACAGATAATGCTTCAGGGTCACCACCTGTCATATGCCAGTACCTTGCATTTCAAAAAGGGTTAAGAATGGCTGACCCAGTCCTTGGAGTGCCTGAGTGGGAGTCAATAGCCTTGAACACCATCATTTCAGATCTGACTCATTGTGGCAACATTAATTTCCTATTTGCAGAAACCTCTCCGACACATGATAGATCCTATTTATTCAATTTGCCACCTACAATATCTGTTAGATGTCACTGATGTCCAGAAGCTCTGCAAATACCAGGCTTCCCCCACTGACTTGGAGAAGCTGTGCTTTTTCAATTATGCTCTTAAAATGGTAGCATTCAATGTTGTCTCAATCACATTAAATTAATAGTCGAGAGGTCATGAATTGTTAAAAAGACTTATAAGTGCTGAAGTGAAGAAAAGTGTATCAAAGTAGGTCAGTCCGCCAGATGACAATCTTACCACAAGACAGTCCCATACCAGCCAATCCCCTCTCTCAGCCAAAGCCGCAACAATTCATCACCCTGGTTCAAAAACATGTATTTAATGCCTTCTTAGCTCTATGCGGTTTTCAGGAGCTCAACAACCCAGCCAGCCCTCGAGAGATTACACCAGAAGACAGAAAATGATTTAGAAGCTGCATTGCCTTCATATATAAGACTCTGCAGTAGGAGAAAGGTAAATAAACATAATACAGATTCCCTTATCTTCACTTTCCTCCAGCTCCTCCAGCTTCAATTGAAACAGTGAGGACTATAGTTTTTTCTTGTCTAGCTAACACTTATTTTAAAATTCAACAAAGCTCCATTGCACTTTGTACTAAGGTACCTCCTGGTGCTATTACAGAATGAGTTGGTTTGTTTGCTTGTTTTGATAAGTTCACACTTAAAGGATACAAGATAAATTGAAGATAATATTTACACATCTGCCAAGGGCCATCTGTCTCTTTAATAAGATGGTTATAGTATTCTACTAGTTTTCCCTTTCTTTTCATCTCTTATTATTGCTGTGATGTTATCTGTGCAATAAACAAAAACCAGGAGAAAAGCCTAAAAAGCATCTGGTCTTTTCTTAATCCATTTTTAAAGTAATAAATTCAAAAAGAGCTAAATCACCATAAGCCAGACAGATGGACAATCCTGCCAAGGTGGCAGCTTTCCTCTCCCCATCACACTGCTACGACAGATACCAAGACAGAACGACAAGGGTCTTTCTCCCACGTGGAAAAATGGGACTGGACAATGAGATCGGTGGCCAGCCTCCTACACACCTCAAACCCATCCCAATTCTGTCTCCCCTTCTGATTTCTCTCCAGAGAGACAATCAGTGGATTGATGGGAACTTTGGTGAGCAGAGCACTGGAAGTGGGCTCTGGTTGTTGTAAAGAACCAAATCACAGAGTCCCAGGCTACTGCAGAAACACAAGAATGACAGACAATTCTCAGCAGTGGTCTCTCTCTGCTCCAGTCTGTTCTACACATTACCATGCTGACCTTTCTTCTTGTAAAAGACATTTGTTGATTTGGGGCCCAGCCTTCAAGTACTGTTTGCAGCCACAAGCCTGTCTTCACTTATAAATTCACTCCTCCCCTGCTTTCATTCAGCGTGGTTTGGCTGGAGCCAGTTCCACTCTGAGGTGGGGAAGGGAAACTGTAAATTTAAACTAGGCCTAAGGCAGTTGGCAAAAGGCATTCTTCCAGTAACAAATACTGGTCTTGAGGTGTGCATATAAACCAAGCCAGGTGGTCCCAACCATCTAGACTTAATTCAAGGATAGTTCTTGGAGTCACTGGGAAAGCTAATGACCTCTTTTCCCCAAGACCTCAGTCTTAGAAGACATGAGCCTGGAGCTCATGCACCATCCCATCACCATGAGAGGAAAGCCTGCCTCAGAAAGGAGCCTACACAAAGGGTGCAAAGCAGAGAGACACAGGAAGAAGTCAGTTCTATCACTTGCACTGCTAGATCAAGCCATGCCTAAAGATGGCTCTATCCTTGGAATTTCCAGTTAAGTCTATTTGGATGGCTTTCTCTCACGGGCAACTCAGAGTCCTAACAGAGATATTTCCAATGCCACTGATTTGCAGATATTACCATTCATGATCAAAAACTAGAAATGATTTCCTACAACCTATAGGATAAAGTTGAAATTCCTTAGCCTGGCACCAAGACCATCCACAAGTTGGCCTCAACTTACCTTCCCTCCTTTATTTTGAACCACTACCTTAAACATAACTCTTCTGTCAAACTGTGCATTCTTTCTCTCCTGAATATTCACCTTTGAAAAAGTCTTGTTTTTCTGAGAAACGTTGTCTCACCCACCCCAGGCCCCAGTATCGCTCGTCTCTGAATTTCCATCACACCCACCACTGTCCTGAGCTTTTCCCTGACACTCGTCATAAGCGACCTAACTGCTCTCATTCTTTAAGCATTATCTAAAGGGCATTAGGGGTACTAAGGAGACATGTTATTTGTCCTCAAGACACTCGCAGACTAATAGGCAAACCAATGGCCAAATATTTATGCAGAGTATTATATAATTAAGATACGCAGCAAGAAAAATAAAGGGCCAAGTTTTAATCAGAAGGCATAAGAGGTATAAACTAAAAATAAAATTATAAGCCTCTCAGCCAACTGAATGGACCCCCTCTTGGCCACTGAGCCCCAGAAAAACCTTAAAAACTGCATTCCCAGCCATGACCCAAAGGAAGGTCACACGTGCCTCATTGTATCTCCTTTCTTTTGCAGTTTAGGCACAAGGGACTAGCACTGATATGAAAATAGACATCATACGACTGACAAAACGGACTCTTTGTGGCAATAAGATAATAAATTCATAGTAAACAGGACCTAAGGCCATGCCAGGCGAAGGTTAAGTCACACACCCTACACTTAAAAGATAAACTCTGTTCTAGCTGCCACAAGATTTTGCTTTTCGTCTAGCAGCTAAACAGGCACTGGTCTGGAGATAAGCCATACCGAAACAATGGCAGCTCATCCACCGCCAGATGCTGACCCACTGACCCCCTGCTCCACAGGCCAGACCGACAGCTTTGATTGGACAGGAAACTGATTTCAATAACTTTCTGCTGGTAAGAAAATCACTGACCATGCACTGGCTCTGGCTGGTTTACAGAGGCTACATACTTGAGTGCCTGTGTGTCCTGAAAAGACCTTTTGACATGTAAGTCCTAACTGTAACATATTTAAATGTTAAGTCTTCACCCCAAAGGGAACATGGGTTGTATGTAACATGCGTGTTTATTCAGTATGCAGGTGTTAGGACCACCTTCATGAATATTCATAGCTCTTTCTGTAACCTGTTGAATATGTACAGTTGGCCACCCCATTAAGCTTATGTTCCTGTCTTACTCCAGTCTCCCTCAAAGCGCCTGCCTTTTGGGCTGTGTCAGATGCTACACTTCCCCACCTGTCAGGATGGCCACTGTGCAGGCTGTAACCCTTCATAAGAATGAAGTCTCCCAGCTGGGCACAGTGGCTCACGCCTGTAATCCTAGCACTTAGGGAGGGCAAAACAGGTGGAACACAAGGTCAGGAGATCAAGACCATCCTGGCTAACATGGTGAAACCCCATTTCTACTAAAAATACAAAAAAAAAAATTAGACAGGCATGGTGGCATGTGCCTGTAGTCCCAGCTACTCAGAAGGCTGAGGCAGGAGAATCGCTTGAACCCAGGAGGCGGAGGTTGCAGTGAGCCAAGATTGTGCCATTGCACTCCAGCTCTGGGCGACAAAGCAAGACTGCCTCAGAAAAAAAAAAAGGAAAGCAATAAAGTCTCTCTTTGAAATTTATAAATCGTGTGATTTTAAAGTTAACAAAAGGGAACTTAATCTAAATTATAGGCGGCATGGAAGGCTCCCTGAAAAAGCAATCATCAATGCACAAAGAAACGGCCAATGTGGTTGGAAGGGGAGTGATGGAAGCTGAGGATAGAGAAGCCAGTAGAGGCAAGGTATGTTGCCTGTCAGAGGTCTTGGGAGTGACTAAACTTTAATCCTACCAGCAAAGGCACTGGAGGATTTTCAGCAGGGAAGTGGCCTGATAAGCTTTAAACCTGAAAAGATCATTCTTGTTGCCATATGGAAAATGGATTAGAGGAGAGTTGAGATAGATTGCTGTTACTGTTGTAAATTAAAAAAAAAAAAATCTAATCCCCCAACCAACTGAATGGACCTGTCCTCCCTGCCAAGAGCATTCCTAAGTTAACCTGAAAAACTAGGTCAGGCCATGATGGAAAGTGGGGGTCAGACATGCCTCATTATGCCATCCTTCCTTTGGAATTCAGGCTGAGGCTGACCAGCATTCAACATTAAAACAGACCTTCAGACTGCAAAGCAACCCAGGCACAGTGGCTCATGCCTATAATCCCAGTACTTTGGGAGGCCAAGGAGGGTGTATCACTTGATATCAGGAGTTCGAGATGAGCCTGGCCAACACGGTGAAACCTCACCTCTACTAAAGCCATAAAAACTATCTGGGCATGGTGGTGGATGCCTGTAGTCCCAGCTACTCAGGAGGCTGAAGTAGGAGAATCACTTGAACCTGGGAGGCAGAGGCTGCAGTGAACTGAGATCATACCACTGCTCTCCAGCCTGGGCAGCAGAGCAAGCCTCCATCCCCACAAAAAAGACTGACAAAACAGATTCTTTGTAGCAATGAGACACCAACATAACAGATAGGAGGCCCTAAAAGAAATCAAAGTACTTTACCCCAAAATGTATTCCTTTGACCTTCGGAGATGGAGTCTCACTCTGTTGCCCAGGCTGGAGTGCACTGGTGCAATCTTGACTCACTGCAACTCTGCCGTCTGGGTTCAAGTGATTCTCCTGCCTCAGCCTCCCAAGTAGTTAGGATTACAGGTGCCCACCACCACACCTGGCTAATTTCTATATTTTTAGTAGAGACTGGGTCTCTTGAACTCCTGACTTCAGGTGATCCACCCACCTCAGCTTCCCAAGGTGCTGGAATTACAGGCGTGAGCCACCACACCTGGTCTTCTTTGACATATTTTGAAATGGCCCTTGCAAAGTTTGTCTCTACATTTCATAGATTTTCCCTTCCCTTTCCAGATCTTTTTCCTGATCCAGGAGGAAATTAACTAAGAGTCTGGCTCCTCTTTAAGTCTGATAAGAAACATTTACAATCTATTCTCTCTGAAGCCTGCTACCTAGAAGCTTCACCTGCATAAGAAAATCCTTCGTGTGCATAACCCCTATCTTAACCCCACACACTCCATTTACTGGTTCCAGGTTTTAGATAAACTCTTTTCAACCAACTGCCAACCAAGAAATCTTTGAATCCACCTATGACCTGGAAGCTCCCCACCCCACCCTGCTTCAAGTCATCCTGCCTTTCCAGATTGAACCAGTGTACATTTGACATGTATTCACTGACATCTCAGGTCTCCCTAAAATATATAAAACCAAGCTGTAGCCTGACCACCTGCACATGTTCTCAGGACCTCCTGAGGCTGTGTCCCAGGTACGTCCTTAACCTTGGCAAACAAAATTCTAAATTGATTGAGATTTGTATCAGATACTTTTTGGTTTACGCAGTGGTACAGGGGACAGATGATGGTAGCTTAAACTTTGGTGACGAGTGGAGATGGAGAGAATTGGGTGATTTCAGTTATATTTTGGAGGCAGAAGCTGTATGACTTAGTGATTTACTGAATATATAGGCAGGGGAGATATGAGAGACAGGAAACCACAGGGCAATTCCTGAGTCCCTGGTTTCAACCACTTCATGAAGATGGGCAACACTGGAGGTAGAGCAGGTTTGGAGAAGTTTGTTTCAGTTAAGTTTAATTTTGAATAGTTGTAGAACAAGTGCATTTACTAATGACGGCTGAATATATGGGTTTGAAGTTTAAAAGTCTAGACTCTGAGTATGAATTTGGGAGTCTCTGGCATGTAGCGGGTATTTGAAGCCACAGGGGTGGATGAGTTTACTCAAGAAGAGTGTAGAGCTAAAATACAGCCTGGACCACATCTGAGGGAACTCCAGTCTTTAGAAGGTTTACTTGTTGGGATAGAGGCAACACAAGGATAAGAGGAAGATATTCCTACCTTCCCAGATAGAAGAACCCTGTCTCGCCTCATATTTCTTTGAAACAACAGTACTTGGAACCTTAACAGGTGTTAAGAAACATTTGTGAACTACACTGAATAGTGGACAGAGCATCAGGCTGAGAATCAGAAGTGTATTCTCAAATTTTATGATTCTGGGTTAAGAGAAAAAACTTTGGTCCACATTCATAATTTAACTGGATGAGAAAGGCCCTCATTAATTCAACTAGTATTAAATGGATCTATAGGCACAAACACTGTGTAAGGCTGGGAACAAAAAATAAAAAGGGGTGGAGGGAAGAAAAATACTTCCCATCCTAGTTATTCAATTCTCACCACGTGTCTATGAGTAACAATCCTGCAGAAGACAGGTCTTACAGATACATGATTGCTGAAGAAACTGAGGTTCACAAAGCTTCAGTTACACAGCCAATAAACGGGGGACCAGAATTCAAACTCAAGTCTGGTTATCTTCTAAACCTGCGCTTTTTCATCTACTGCACATCGTCCTCCAACCCCTGCTCAACAACTCACAATCTTAGAATGAAAGTTAACTAACAATGCAAAGTAGTCTACAATTAAATGTCAACAGCCAGGTACCGTGAATGCTACAGTTTCAAGGGGTGAACAACATGATACAGATGGTTAGGAAGGTCTGGTAGACCGAGCTGGACCTTGGATTAAGGATAAGAGAGTAAGAGTCACGGGACAGGGCAGAGAATCCCAAAGCCACACCACAAACACGAAAAGCAAAGTTAAGTCTCAGAAATTCTCCTTATATGTATGTGCCTCACTCAGGTCCTTTGAGAATATATTCCTAAAGTTAGGTGGCATGTGGGTGATTATGGATATTGGTACAGGAGCAGGTATAACACTTAAAGTCTCTTTCATGACAACTAAGGGTCTGAAAAAGCATGTAACTTTAGCTCCAAATGTAGTCCCTGGAAGACAGGATGCCAATTACAAGTAAAATAATGGCTTTAATAAAATAAGGGAGGCTATCTGTGAAACCTTCATTTTGTCCCAATGTAACTCTACTTGTATCAGATCCCCTACTGCCTTATTTCCTGCTATAACTGTGAGGCCCATGAGAGGCAGGACCATATCATAGTATTTTCTCATGTCTCAAAGGCTTGGCACAGTGCTTTTGATCCATGTTACTGATTGCATAAATGTGTTTTAAAATATTAGAAAATAAATAGTATACGTTTGTCCACAAAAGGAACAGTGAGCTTGTGAATGAAAAGAGGAGGCAATGAGGATTCCAAGACACTTTCCCCCACTATATCTGGGGTTTTATCAACTGAAAGGGGAAGAAGGGAAACAGAAGCCAAATGTGTTCCATTTTCGACATCAACAATTTCCAACCTCCCAAATTAATTAAATCGAAAATCGTTCTGAACCTGCCAGAGAACTACACTTAAGAGCAGCTACAAATTACTAACTCACTTTAACTCCTTTGAAGGAGTATTAAAAATATACTCTACAGCAAGGACAAAATCAGTCTCCTATCTGTACTGGGCCAATCCTATTCTCAACTTTTCCAGTGACTAACTGAATCTATTCGCAACAGATCTGACCAGGGAGAGTGGGGTGACCAGAGCCCAGGAAACAGCAAAGTTCGACCTCTTTATAAAAACTATCTACACATAAGGCTCAGCCTTTCATGAGAGGTCACATTTATATCCTGCTTAAAGCATGCCAATGACTTTCACTTTCATCATCTCATTTGATTTCCTCACAATAATCTTGTGAATAAGAAACACTTAACACACTGCCTGTTAAGAGTGCCATCAAAGGCGGGCAGGAACCGGTCATCCCATTTCACAGATGAGAAACACAGGATCAGAGAAAAAAAAGCGATCGAAGTTCTCTCCAGGGCTCCCAGAGGGGGCAGGGTTCAGTTTGCCCATCTGTAAAATGTGCGCGTGGGTTGAGATGATATTATCTCTGAGGTCTGGTGCATTCCATGACGTCCGAAAAGCTCTACACGGCCACCCACGGGCCCCAGGGCGGCAGCCCTTCCCGCACCCCGAGCCCTTTCGGGATTCGCGTTTCCCAGGCTGCTCTTGGTCCGTCCGCTCCCACTCTCGCTACCCGCTCCTCCGCTCTGCCACGTGGACCCTCTCGACTACCGCCTCCCCTCGCCCACCTCGACAGCCATGTTCGGGGGTGGGGAAAGGCCGGCCGGACTTTTGGACTGTGGAGCTCGCTGACTACTTTAGGTGTGCGTGGACCGGGGCTCCAGCACTGACCTGGTCACTGCGCCTGCGCAAGAGTCTCCGCCACTCCTGTCCGGGTGGGAACCCAAACCTTGGACTTCCGTTCCGAAATCAAACTCTATGTCCGCCCTTCAGGGCGCTACGCATTTGTTTCTAGGCTTCAGTCCTGAGGCTACCCAGGGCCTGCCTTTCTCTCTAACTTGCAGGAGGAAGAGTAAGCTCCATAACAAGGAGTACTTTAGATTGCTATTCCGAACGGCTAATCAGGAAGTATAAGCTAAACTCTTAGCAAAATGGCAGCACCTGGAAAGGCAGGTTGAGCCAAACTACCTGGGTTCAAATTCTGACTCCACCACATACTACGTAGGTAACCTCGTGCTTTATTATCGTTTCTTCATCTATTTATGTGAGGTTTAAATGTACAAATAGCTGTAAATCAACAATACCAGAACAGTGCCTGGCATACAGTAAGCATTATATAGGTGTAAAGTATTATCCCAATATTTTACTAGGCAAACATTTGATCAATACTGCTCTTGAAATAGGCTTTTTGATATTGTTAACATATATTGCAAGATTTGCCATCTCCTCTCTCCCTAACTGCCAAGAAGTGTTCTCTCCTTTATCTGAGATTTTACCATCCCTCTCAATCTGCTGACCACAAGGCATTTTTCCAAAGGAACTGTGTGTCTTAGGTTGTATTTGTATATAAATGAAAATCTATAATTTCAATGTGTTAAGAAATTGGGATGTAGTTGTCACTCAACATTTGACTAACTGGGCCTCTCTCAATATTTCCCTACTTAGTACAAATATTTCAATTAACAAAAAAGCCTTACTTTCATTTCTGAATCTGTGGTCTTTCCATAAAATCTATAGTAGATTGCAAAAACAAAACAAACATTGAGCTTGTGAGCTTCTATTCCTTTGAATAGAAGTGAGCATTTCTATTTGCAACATGTGTTTGCTGTATTTCTCCTCAAGAGACGAAGTCTATTTCTCTATCCCCTTGAGTCTGGGCTGGCTTCATAACATGCTTTGACAAATAGAATGCAACGGAAGTCCCACTGTGGAATTTCTGAGCCTAGACCTCAGAGGCTTTGTAACTTTCACTTTCTTTCTTGTTGGTAGGGTTATCAACCATCCTGATCTGCCCAAGGCTGAGGTGTTTCCCAGGATATGAGACTTTCACTGCTAAAACCAGGATAGTCCCAGACAAAGCAGCATGACCAGTCACCCTACTTGCTGCCCTGAGACTGTCACCATCCTTGAGGATGATAGTTCCCAAGGAGAAAGTGACCCAGTCAACATCCAGCACCATCAGCATGTGACTTATCCAGCCCCAATCCAGTCACCAGATAATAGCAAATGCATGAGTCAATTCTGGTGAGACCAGCAGAACCATCCAGCTGAACTTATCTCAAATTGCTTTCTTCCATTGCAGTTTTTCTGTACATAAAAAAAAATTGCTGTTCTACATAACTGTGAACAAACCAAACGGTTTTTCTAAGCCACCTAGTTTTGGAGTCGTTTGTTATATAGCAGTAGATAACTCCTACAATACTGCAACCCTATAACTACAGGGAATTATACTCAAAACCTACGAAATAGACTCCAATTTTAAGACAATAAAGCACAGCGCTTCCTCACCACTTGTTCATTTCTTTATCTACTCAAAGAATATTTATTGAGTGCTTACTGTATACTAGGAACTGTATCATGGACTTAGCATCTACTACTAAACAAGACAGGTAAGTACCCTGTCCTCAAAAATCTTGTCCAGTTTGGGATACAGATACTAAATGAATAATTATAAGTTATGGGGGTGCTTTGAAAATGAATGGGACTAAATAGAAGTAAAGGAGTGTAAAAAAAAAGCAATGGTTTTTAAAAAAGAAGTGGCATTTAAGTTCAGTTCTGAAGTAGGAGTTATCCAGGTAAAAATTGGGCTGAAGTGTATTCCATGAAGAGAGAGCAGTATATGGGAAAGCTGTGGACTAGGAAGGATCTTGAGGAGGGACAAAGTAGCTGGAGTTTAGCAGCTAGGGGAAAAGAGGCAGAAAGTCAAACTAGAGATGCAGGCAGAAGCCCAATCCTCCAGAACCTTGTAGGCACGGTGAGGTTAAAATGCACCTATCTGGCATCCAGTTCTTCAAAGTATGTCTAGTTCCACCTGCTTTATCTTAAGGACATCTTATGAGGCATCTGCGCTATATGGAAAGGTTGATAAACTACGAGACAGAATGCTGTATTTCATTTTGTGCCTCCGTAACAGAATGCCACAGACTGGGGACTCACAATAATCAGAAATGCAGTGGCTCACAGTTCTGGAGACTAGGAAGTCCAATATTAATGCTGGAATCTTGCAAGGGCCTTCTTGCTGCATCATAACATTGTGGAGGAGCAAGGAGAGGGTGAGAGACAGCAAGAGGGAGCAAACCGACTCCCTCAATAGCAAACCCATTCCCATGATAACAACCTTAGTCCATCCATGAGGGTGGAGCCCTCATAACCTAAACACCTCTTAGAAACTCCACCTCCCAATACCTTCCAAATGTCAATTAAATTTCAACATGAGTTTTGGAGACGACAAACAGTTAAAACCATAGCAAATGCCTAAATCCATTTCAGCAAATAATTAAATCTCACCAACCTGGGTTTTCTTATCTATAAAAGGAAATAATCCCTGTACAATACCATATATATTTCAGGTGTGGGATGAGTACAAAATGAGTTCGTATGGGAAGGAACACTATAAAATGACAAGAGTTCTATAAATATAAGGGCTCTGATATTGAGGTGCTGATATGCCCACGCCCCATGTTTTTGGTCACATACTGTGTTTGGATCCACCTATCCCAGTAAGAATCATAGATGATTTCATCATTATTTTTGCTGTGCCTATGGATTCTCCCCATCCCAGATAAAAAAAATTTTGCCCTACTTTCTTACTGAACCAACAGATAACACTCTAACTTCTGTGTTGCACTTTTTAAAGAGTTCTTTAGCATTAACCATTTCATCGTCTGATTATGCATTCATTCAACAAATATTTTCTGTGCGTCTGCAACTGTGTCAGGCACAGTCCTAGATACTGAGGATACGATCATGAACAAGACAAAGTCCCCGCTCTCTGGTGGAAGAGACAGATACCAAAACAGATAATTCTGTAAACGTAATGTCAGGCAGCGGCAAATGTTATGAGGAACCAAAAATCTCAACAGGAAAACAGAGTGAAATGTTGTGTGTTCCAAACAGTGGTGTTATGAATGAACTAATTACCAAAGAAGAAAAATTGTAGTCAGTGTTCAACTGACTTGTTTAGGAAAAGCCAAGACGCTGTTATTCCAGCGCCCCTCTCATTAGTTCAGCTCTTTCATACACCAAAGATACTGGGCATTTGTTGTGATGTGGGGTGTTGCTCTGGCAAGGTGAAATGAGACAAGATAAAACTCATCAACTTTTCTTCAAAGTTGATGTATAATTGTATAGTTGGGACTGTCAAAAAAATGCACAATGCTACAGAATGTTAATTTTGCTTAGGCCCATGTGAGAGGCAGATACCTGTATACTTCCCTTGCCAGTTCTCCCACTACGCCTGGTCACCCTTTGCTCTCTATATGGCCACCCCTAGGAACTCCTAATTCTTTTCACTTTCTCTCTTAAAAGTTCATGTCATTCCTGTCTCAGGACCTTTGCTCATTTTGCTCCCTCCCAGCTCTTCATCTCTTCCTTTACCAAGTTAATTTAGTTTTCATTTTGCTCCCAGAAATGCTCTTCATTTCTTCCTTTACCAAGTTAATTTAGTTTTCACTGAGATGTCATTTCTTTAGGGAATCCTGCCATAGGCTGCTCAGACTAAGTCAGTGTATCAGTTAACTGTGATCAATAATGCTGTGTAACAAATAGCCACAAAAATCTCAGCAACTGACAACTTAAGCATTAATGAACTCCCAAAGGTGCAGGTTAGCTGGAGGTCAGCTGGCCTGGATTGGGATTGGCTAGGCAGTTCTGCTAACCTTGGCTGGCCTCTCTGATTCATCTTCAGGGATGAAGGGTCAGCCAATCAGGGCCCCTAGCCTCCACCTAGCTGAGGAAGCTCAGCTGGGATGGGTCTGCTCCACATGTCTCTCATCATCATGGGACTAGCCGGCCAACCAAGGCACGTTTTCAAGCTGATGGCAGAGGAACACGAAGCCAAATGGGAACTCACTAAGACCTGTCAAGGCCCATGCTTAGAATTAGCTCACTGTCAGTCACCCCCACTTTATCTTACTGGTCAAACTCAGTAACATGGTCAAGCCCAAAGTCTAGGGGTTGTGGAAATGTACTTTGCTGTTATGGAAGAAACTTCAAAGTCACATGACAAGTTTGAGACTGCAAGGACAGGTAAAGAATAGAAGCAGAGGATGCATTTTACCATAATCAAATTCCCCTTCCCACCATCTCCAAGCACCCAGACTTCTTCATGGGCCTTGCCACACTTAAAACCATGTTATAGGATATGAATTTGTTTGTTTGAGATTTTATTTTCTCACTGGATAATAAAATCCACAAGGATAGAGAATAAGTTAGGATTGCTTATTTCTAACATGGCATTTAACAGAGCGCTTGGCACATAATTGGTGCTCAGTATATATTATTGATTGGATGGCAGAAAATTAATGGGAGGCATTCACAGGAAGGAGAAATAATTTCTGCATGAATTGAGCAAGGCAGGCTTCTTGGAGGAAGGGGCTGTGAGTTAAGGATTAAGTATATTTCTGTTGGGCTCACTTTAGTCCCTTTGACTGGTTTTGAGGCAGAGACTGGAGTTTACATCTCCTTATTCCAAATGGCAGGAGGCTTCCTACCTCTCCCATCCTCCCTTTGTGGGTGGTGGGGAGGCCTTTGGGAGGGTCCACATAGTGGTTGAGAATGCCCCGGACGGAAGCCGCAAAATCTCTGGATTCTTCATTCACATCCTCTCTGGTGGCCACTTCACCTTCAGCATCCCAATCCTGCAATCCTTTCTCCACGTGGCAAGCAAATTGATTTTGTGAAAAACCTGGCATCAAAAGTGGCTTCCCATTTTCCCTAGGATTAGGTTTGAAGCCCAGGCAGGTGTCAGAAGCATTCAAACTAGAATAACTCTATCTTAAATAGGAGCTAGGTAAAATGAGGCTAAGACCTACTGGACTGCATTCCCAGATGGTTAAGGCATTCTAAGTCACAGGATAAATCAGGAGGTCATCACAAGATAAAGGTCGTAAAGACCTTGCTGATAAAACAGGTTGCAGCAAAGAAGCCGGCCAAAGCCCACCAAAACCAAAATGGCCACTAGAGTGACCTCTGATGGTCCTCACTGCTACACTCCCACCAGCATTATGGCAGTTTACAAATGCCATGGCAACATCAGGAAGTTACCGTGTATGGTCTAAAAGGGGGAGGCAGGAAGGGGAACGTCACACACCAGGGCCTGTTGAGGGGTGGGGGAATAGGGGAGGGATAGCATTAGAAGAAACATCTAATGTAGATTACGGGCTGATGGGTGCAGCAAACCACCATGGCACGTGTATACCTATGTAACAAACCTTTATGTTTTACACATGTATCCCAGAACTTAAAGTATAATTTTAAAAAATGAAAAAAATAAAAAAGGGGGGCATGAATAATGCACACCTTGTTTGGCATATCATCAAGAAATAACCATGGAAATGGGCACCCAGCAGCCCTAGGTGCTGCTCTGTCTGTGGAGCAGCCATCTTTATTCCTTGACTTTCCTTATAAACTTGCTTTCACTTTGCTCCGTGGACTCGCCCTGAATTCTTTCTTGTGCAGGATCCAAGAACCCTCTCTTGGGGTCTGGATCAGGACCCCTTTCCTGTAAGGAAAGACAGCTGCCTCAGCAACCTCAGGCATGGCACCTCCACCCCCCTGAGGCCCCACCTCCTTTTCTGTGCCCTGCCTTTCCCCATCTAAGCAGCAGCAATACTGTACTGCCTTCAATTTCTAGAAAACATCAAGCCATTTCCTGCCTGGGCCTTTGTTCACACAGCCTCCCGGGCTTAGAACACCCTGCTCCACTCTCCCCCTCCTCACCATGGCCTCCTAAGCCTCTATTCATTCATTAAATCCTCTGGAAAACTGAACCTGACATCTCTAGAACATTGGTCTCTCCCTCCTTCATATCCACCCCTTAGACTTCTATTATAGCACATGAAGTACTGTTTGAGAGGATTCGTTTCTATGATGAAGTGGTTAAGATAAGGAATTTCAAATGCTGGCTGTGCCACTTGCTTGTGTTAGGTGACAGCCCATCCTTCAGAACATATAGGATAAATAGATTAAAAGCGCTTGGAACATTGTTGGCACAGGGTGAGTAGTCATTAAGTGTCAGCTATTGTTTTCTTTTCTCTTCTTCCTTTCTTGTCAGCATGTTTCCTTTCTTGCTTAGGCTGCTAGGAACCTCTGAGAAAATAATAGGGATGGTCAACACATCTATAA